TACTGATTTTGGGAATGAATTCAGACTAAGAACTTTTCAGCAGCCCCTTGTATTCCATTGATCCCTGTAAGTAATTGAATATATATTTCTCTGTTTTTGTTTCACCCACCAATTACATTCCAACTCACCAAAGGCAAACAGCTATCTACTGAAAAGTGTATCTCCTTAGCCACCCACTATCTACCCAGACGAGTCTACAATCCACCCATATGTCTGCCTACTTATTCACTGAAATAACTGTTTTTCTCTCTAATTCATGATGAGAAATTTCCCAATGCACCTTTGCGGTGGTTGGTTTTATTTTAGTTTTTAAATAATCAGTTGGATGAAGAACCATTTTCAGTTTTGAATGGCTAAGAAACGGATGCCACTTGCTCTTCTCCAATCTCTGGAATTGGCTAGAATTTTGAATTTTTCAAGTTAGTCAGCTCCTCCCCTCAATACAACCTTCCTCCCCATATCTGGCTCTGCACTAAACTGAACCACATTGTGTGTGTGTGTGTGTGTGTGTGTGTATATATATATATATATATATATATATATATATATATATATATATATATATAAAACTTTTAAAAATTTTGTCTAACTCCAGTCTACAACAATAGTTTCCAAAATAGTATCCTACCTATAGAAGTTAAAGCAAAATTTATATCTATTTATTTATCTCAGTTTGTTCACTATCTATATATCTATTTCCATTTGTTCCTTATCTATCTGTTCATTTTCATCTGTCTACCTCCATTTGTTCATATCTATCCATAGTTTGTATATATATATATATTCAATCTTTCTCCCCATATCTGGCTCTGCACTAAACTGAACCACATTGTGTGTGTGTGTGTCTATATATATATATATATATAACTTTTAAAAATTTTGTCTAACTCACTCCACTCTACAATATTTTCTAAAGCAGTTTCCTACCTATATTGATATATATTAACTCACTGAGATATATAGATAGATATAAATTCTGCTTTAACTTTTATAAGTTAAAGCAAAATTTATATCTATCTCAGTTTGTTAATATATATCCAGCTATCTTGGTCTGTTTATATTTATGTATCTCAGTCTGTTAATATCTATCCATCTACCTCAGTCTGTTCATATCTATCTATCTATCCTGTTCAATTTCTATTGTTCTGATCACATTATCTATCTCAGTTTGTTCATATCTGTCTATCTCTCTCTCTCTCTCTATTTCCGTCCAATCATCAGTCTCTCTGTCCATCACGGTCTATTCCTATGTGTCTATCTATATATCTTCGTCTGTTCATATCTGTCTATCACTACCTTATTCTGTTTGTCTTTCTATCTTTAATAAATGTTATGTCACCTCAAAAGAATATGTAAAATACAGCTTATATATATCTTCACTGACTTTTAAATCTGTCTGGCGTATTCAAGAGAAAAAAACACAAGAATATTTGTCCGAGAGAAAAATTACACACTCTTTTAAATATCAGTTTGAATGTCTACTTTGAAGTCATTTTAAATGTCCCTGTTGAAAATTGGGATGATATTTTTTCAAAGTGTGATAATTCATTTCAACCTTTTGATCATTTTTTAAAAAATTTCCAATTTGGATTTAATTTTTTGTTTCAAATGGCAGTGCAACATATAAAAAAAATACGAATCTCCATATGGGGTTTTAATTCTGTACGGTGTGTGTGACAGTTTTGCATTTCCGAGTGATACCAGCTGTTGACGTTTGACCATGGGATGAATGTTAAGATATTGATGACTGATTTTTTGAATTTTGCAGCAGCACGATCTTACTTGCTTCATTTGGCCCTGAAAAGGATGCAAATAAGTTTAGTAAATATCAATACATATGTCTGAATATGTACATTTTAAAAATATGGTTAACTTCCACCCACTCAACTACAATGTTGTCAGGTTTGTGAGAGTCTAAGATGAAAATATATAGCATCAATTAGCTATGTGACAAATTTTATATTTGGATTATTCTATATATATATATATATATATATATATATATATATATAATTAAATAATTAATTAAATCTTCCTTGTCTGTCATATTTAATGAAAGATATTTGAAAGAAAGTTTGCTATTAATACATTAATATATATATATATAATTTATTTGAAAATTATAACATAAATATGTTATAAAATCACTACAAAAATAGTCATTTTGTTTCAACACTTCTGGTGTCTTATCAAGAGATGGTGTTGAATGCATTGAGCACTCTATTAAGAATAGTATTTTTTGGGTATTGGAATTTATTCCATATACACCAATTCTATTCTTGGATATATATATATATATGTGTGTGTGTGTGTGCATATATATATATATATATATATATATATGTGTGTGTGTGTATATATATATATATATATATATATATATATATATATATATATATATATATATATATATATATAGTATATTTATGCAGTAATCCTTCTTTTATACATGATTCATTGAATATGACAGACAAGGAAAATTTTATTAGTATTTTTATTCGGTTTTTCAAATGTTCTTAGTTTTTTTTGTCTTTGTCCCCATAAAAGGAAAACTGTAAGAACATTAAAAAACTAAATAAAAAAAATTATAAAATTTCTCTTGTCTGTCACATTGAATTCTATATATATATATATATATATATATATATATATGAAAAAAAATGCTAAAAATAATGCAAGCCTTATTAATAAAACCAAAAAAACCAACACTCAATAATATCAACTATGAACATGGACATAATATCTTGACTGTGTTTCGAAAAATGAAAACATTTTATAAAACATACATACAACAAGCTATTTCTTATTTTAACAGTTAAAATATTTAATCCTTGAAAATGGCTAAAGGTATACCTGAAAGTGCTTGGATAAAAAGAACATTCAGACAAGTTTTATATAATTTATCATCTGAAAAGAATAAAATTATTAGATCACATGAGAAATTGTATATAAAACTAAATCAAAGCACCTTGTCTGTTGTATTCAATGAAATATGCATGAAAGAAGGACTGCTGCCTAAATACACAAATATATATGTATTATGAAAAACTAGGTAATCCGTATGGGTAAACCTATGGAGGATAAGCAGTAACAAAATGAACAGCAGTTGAAATGTTTTAAATTCACAGAAACACATATACATACTCATAGACAACTTAACCCCCTGAAGAGAATCTCAGATGAGATTGAAAGTACTTGGGAAAACAAAAACTATTCAAAAGATAATTTGGGTATTTTTCTTACTCAATTTTCTAAATCTACCAAAAAATGAATCCGTGAACTTGAAAGAATCACAACGAAAACTAATCGACAGTATATGTCTAAATTATTTATCCAAACCTTTTTATATATATATATATATATATATACACACACATATATATGAGTGAGTGTGTGTGTGAGTAAGCACTTCCAGTCCCACTGGGGAATGCTGGGAGCAAAAGGTCAAGCGGCAGTTTGAAGAAAATAGTTGTTGAGTTAAGCATGTTTCGTGTTGTCTTTGTGTTACTTCAGCAGCCAGTCTCATATAATTTATCTTTCCACCCTAAGCCCAGTGGAACAATTATATACTTATGAGTATCTTCATCTTGGTTGTTATAGTTACAATATTTCATGCATTCCAGTCTCTTCCCAATGTCTGTTGTATTCAGTAACTTTCTGGCAATTTCAGATTAAACCGTTTATTCATTCTGCAGGATTAAATTGTTCTCCCTCCGATCTCTATGCAAAGAGGAGATAACTCGTGCCAGTTTATTCATCCTAATGATGGCCCTTCCTTTTTCCAACTGACTCAGAATATGACTTTCAATGCCTGAACCAATGTTTGAACACATAACCGTGAAGTGACTAGATAAATTTAAACAATGCTGTTATCTATGAAATTTTTTTAGCTTAACATTTGTTTGTTTTATTCCATATGGTAATAAAACATATTTGTCTTTTCTTAATTAAAAACTTCCATATGGTGATAATTTCTATGCTGGGTCTACTGAGGAGGTTATTATCCTTTTGCTGTGGCTTTTTTATTTATTAATTGAATCAAGAACGGCATGCATAATAATGATAACCCACTGGATTTGTGAATATTTTATGAGTTTTGACAACTAAGATTATCCATTACCTCATGACACTGCTCTTCTCCTACCCTTTGCCTGTATCTTCTCATTATCTCCCTTATACCTTCCAATACAACCAATGTTATCCATTGTCTCATGACACTGCTCTTCCCTCACCCTTTGCCTGTATCTTCTCATTATCTCCCTTATCCCTTCCAATACAACTAAGATTATCCATTATCTCATGACACTGCTCTTCTCTTACCCTTTGCCTGTATCTTCTCATTATCTCCTTATCCCTTCCAATACAACCAATGTTATCCATTGTCTCATGACATTGCTCTTCTCTTACCCTGTGCCTGTATCTTCTCATTATCTCCCTTATCCCTTCCAATACAACTAAGATTATCCATTATCTCATGACACTGCTCTTCTCTTACCCTTTGCCTGTATCTTCTCATTATCTCCCTTATCCCTTCCAATACAACCAATGTTATCCATTGTCTCATGACATTGCTCTTCTCTTACCCTGTGCCTGTATCTTCTCATTATCTCCCTTATCCCTTCCAATACAACTAAGATTATCCATTATCTCATGACACTGCTCTCTCTCTTACCCTTTGCCTGTATCTTTCATTATCTCCCTTATCCCTTCCAATACAACCAATGTTATCCATTGTCTCATGACATTGCTCTTCTCTTACCCTGTGCCTGTATCTTCTCATTATCTCCCTTATCCCTTCCAATACAACTAAGATTATCCATTATCTCATGACACTGCTCTTCTCTTACCCTTTGCCTGTATCTTCTCATTATCTCCCTTATCCCTTCCAATACAACTAAGATTATCCATTATCTCATGACACTGCTCTTCTCTCACCCTTTGCCTGTATCTTCTCATTATCTCCTTATCCTTCCAATACAACTAAGATTATCCATTATCTCATGACACTGCTCTTCTCTCACACTTTGCCTGTATCTTCTCATTATCTCCCTTATCCCTTCCAATACAAGATTAATTATCTCATGAGATTATCCATTATCTCCTTATCCCTTGACACTCAGATTATCTTTCTCTTTGACCTGCTCTTCCCTTTGCCTGTATCTTCTCATTATCTCCCTTATCCCTCCAATACAACTCAGATGATCCGTTATCTCATGACACTGCTCTTCTCTTACCCTTTGCCTGTATCTTCTCATTATCTCCTTATCCCTTCCAATACAACCAATGTTATCCATTGTCTCATGACATTGCTCTTCTCTTACCCTGTGCCTGTATCTTCTCATTATCTCCTTATCCCTTCCAATACAACTAAGATTATCCATTATCTCATGACACTGCTCTTCTCTTACCCTTTGCCTGTATCTTCTCATTATCTCCCTTATCCCTTCCAATACAACTCTCAGATGATCCGTTATCTCATGACACTGCTCTTCTTTACCCTTTGCCTGTATCTTCTCATTATCTCCCTTATCCCTTCCAATACAACCAATGTTATCCATTGTCTCATGACATTGCTCTTCTCTTACCCTGTGCCTGTATCTTCTCATTATCTCCCTTATCCTTCCAATACAACTAAGATTATCCATTATCTCATGACACTGCTCTTCTCTTATCCCTTTGCCTGTATCTTCTCATTATCTCCTTATCCCTTCCAATACAACTAAGATTATCCATTAACTCATGACACTGCTCTTCTCTTACCCTTTGCCTGTATCTTCTCATTATCTCCTTATCCTTCCAATACAACTAAGATTATCCATTATCTCATGACACTGCTCTTCTCTTACCCTTTGCCTGTATCTTCTCATTATCTCCCTTATCCCTTCCAATACTACCAATGTTATCCATTGTCTCATGACACTGCTCTTCTCTTACCCTTTGCCTGTATCTTCTCATTATCTCCCTTATCCCTTCCAATACAACTAAGATTATCCATTATCTCATGACACTGCTCTTCCCTCACCCTTTGCCTGTATCTTCTCATTATCTCCCTTATCCCTTCTAATACAACTAAGATTATCCATTATCTCATGACACTGCTCTTCTCTTACCCTTTGCCTGTATCTTTCTCATTATCTCCCTTTATCCTTCCAATACAACCAATGTTATCCATTGTCTCATGACATTGCTCTTCTCTTACCCTGTGCCTGTATCTTCTCATTATCTCCTTATCCCTTCCAATACAACTAAGATTATCCATTATCTCATGACACTGCTCTTCTCTTACCCTTTTGCCTGTATCTTCTCATTATCTCCCTTATCCCTTCCAATACAACTAAGATTATCCATTATCTCATGACACTGCTTTTCTCTTACCCTTTGCCTGTATCTTCTCATTATCTCCTCTGTATCCTTCCAATACAACTAAGATAATCCATTATCTCATGCCACTGCTCTTCTCTTACCCTTTGCCTGTATCTTCTCATTATCTCCTTATCCCTTCCAATACAACTAAGATTATCCATTATCTCATGACACTGCTCTTCTCTTACCCTTTGCCTGTATCTTCTCATTATCTCCTTATCCCTTCCAATACAACTAAGATTATCCATTATCTCATGACACTGCTCTTCTCTTACCCTTTGCCTGTATCTTCTCATTATCTCCCTTATCCCTTCCAATAAAACTACCAAGATTATCCATTATCTCATGACACTGCTCTTCTCTTACCCTTTGCCTGTATCTTCTCATTATCTCCCTTATCCCTTCCAATACAACTAAGATTATCCATTATCTCATGACACTGCTCTTCTCTTACCCTTTGCCTGTATCTTCTCATTATCTCCCTTATCCCTTCCAATACAACTAAGATTATCCATTATCTCATGACACTGCTCTTCTCTTACCCTTTGCCTGTATCTTCTCATTATCTCCCTTTATCCCTTCCAATACAACCAATGTTATCCATTGTCTCATGACATTGCTCTTTCACCCTGTGCCTGTATCTTCTCATTATCTCCCTTATCCCTTCCAATACAACTAAGATTATCCATTATCTCATGACACTGCTCTTCTCTTACCCTTTGCCTGTATCTTCTCATTATCTCCCTTATCCCTTCCAATACAACTCAGATGATCCGTTATCTCATGACACTGCTCTTCTCTTACCCTTTGCCTGTATCTTCTCATTATCTCCCTTATCCCTTCCAATACAACCAATGTTATCCATTGTCTCATGACATTGCTCTTCTCTTACCCTGTGCCTGTATCTTCTCATTATCTCCCTTATCCCTTCCAATACAACTAAGATTATCCATTATCTCATGACACTGCTCTTCTCTTACCCTTTGCCTGTATCTTCTCATTATCTCCCTTATCCCTTCCAATACAACTAAGATTATCCATTATCTCATGACATTGCTCTTCCCTCACCCTTTGCCTGTATCTTCTCATTATCTCCCTTATCCCTTCTAATACAACTAAGATTATCCATTATCTCATGACACTGTTCTTCTCTCACCCTTTGCCTGTATCTTCTCATTCTCTCCCTTATCCCTTCACAGCTGAAATGTCATTACCATAGCAATAAAAAGGATATTAATTGTAACATAAGTAAATAATAATATAAACAAAAAATAATAAAATATTGACAGAGATAATCTTTCATCTGTTATCAGAAATCAAATTCTATTTTGCATATTTATCTGCTTTATAAAAGGCATAAGATTTTTTATATATCTTTACTCTTTCCCACTTAATGTGATGTAGGTTTCCTGACAGGAAATCATAACTGATTTCCTTTCTAAAATGCCTGGGTTCAGACAGATTATACATTCTTATCCAAGAGATAAGTCTGTAATGACCATGCATACAAATGAGAATTATAAGAGAAAACCCTAACTAGATGAATTATAGTCTTGAGGAAGGCTGACAAACACACTAGCTAAAATATATTAAAAAAGAAGGATAAGAAGGAGAAATTAAATAATTTATGAAACAGTAAAAATAATGAAAGTCTGATTGGATGATGGAGAATGTCATCTCAACTCTCCAGCTAAAGTTTGTATTTATCTGTCAGCCTCTTGTTATCAGTAATGTTAGGACAAAATCATATTTACATCTGGAATCACTACATTATGAGGCAACACCAAAGTCTTGAGCAGTGGTTCCCAAACTTTTTCAGAATGAAAATTTATTCATACCTCACCAAATTTTATATGATAATAAGTACATACAAAAAAAAAAAAGATGGTTAAAGGGGGGTAAATGCAGATTCAAAGTCAGAACATTATCCTCTCTCCTCCAATTTGCAGACCCTAGTTACTATATTCTTAATACTTGATATAATGCAAAAATATTACAATGATAAAATATGTCAATAATTATTTATAACTATTTATACTTGGACTCATGCATGCAATTACAAGTAATCCATAATATTATTTTAAATTTTAATATCATATTTATTTTTGGCATATGAATTTTTTCAAAGCTGTTTCTAAATTTTTGATTGTTTTCAATCATTTTGCCTCACCTGCTATCCTCTTCTGCACTGTTCGAGAACCACTGGCCTTGTGGTATTGTTTGGGTTAGATACTTGAGAAAATTGTATGAATGCTAGTCATTTGGATAATGTGGAATGTTGTCTCAATTTTCCATCTGAACTTCATATTCATCCCTCGACCTCTTGACCTTGTAAACAGATCCATTAATTAAAATCTTATATTCTTGAATTAACGTTCAATGAAGGAAGTTTAACAAAGGAATATATGATAAGGTTGTATTTATCTGCAAACTTTGGTCATGTTGGGATGCTTTTCACCCCCAAAACCATGCCTGACCCCCATGTCATCATTTGATGAAGGCTTTGTTTGGTGGAACAGCTGTTGGTTTTTCTAGCAGTACGTATATAAAATGATATCTATTTTTAAAGTTTAGATGACACAAAGAATTAATGTTTCATTTCTAGGCACTTGAACATTGACTGGAAAATTATAAATACAATGAAGCTGCATTTCCATTTGACATTTCCACACTGTAACATAAATCCAATATATAATTGCTTTTTTTTTTTTTTTTTTTTTTTTTTTTACTTGTTTTATTGGCTTTCAACAAGTTCTTCATGATTTAAGTTGGAATTAGGATTTAACAGATTTATTTTCTATCTTTAGACAAAATTGACAAAACCGACTCTTGTGCTATCATTAGACGAAGGTTTGTTTGGTGGCACAGATGTTGGTTATTGCAACAATAGGTATTTGAAATTACATCTAATATAATGTTGTGGTGACACTAGGAAAGACTGACAAACACACTAGCTGCATTTTCATTTGACATTTCTACACTAACAAAAATCCAACAAAGTGTGATGGTATTTATTGTAAGGTAATGTTGGGGTAATTTGCCCCCAAAAAAAAAAAAAACCATGCCTGATCTGTAAGTCATCATTTGATGAACCTTTTGTTGGTAGCATTGATGATTTTTTTTTTTTTTTTTTTTTTTGAAACAGTAAGGGGATGAAATGATATCCTTTGATGGTACTCAGAAAGGCTGGATAAAGGCTGTGGAAGGCTGACAAACACACCGGCTAATACAAAAAGGATATTAAGTAATTTATGAAATCATAAAAATAATGAAAAAGTCCAGTCATGTTTGATTGGATAATGCAGAATGTCATCTCGACTCTCCAGTTGAAGTTCGTATTCATCCCTCAGCCTCTTGACCTTGTCATCTGATCCATTAATCCAGATCTTGCATCATTGAATTAACATTTTATCCCTTGGTCCAGGATTATTGACTGGAAAATTGTGACTGCAAAAGGCAATATACGACGAGGCTGAATTTCTATTTGACATTTGACTGCATTAAATAAGACTGACGAATTATATTTTTGTCGGTTGAAACAAGCTTATTTCCCATAACAATGTTTTTGTGATTTGTATATATATATTATATTATGTATATATGTGTGTATATATATATATATATATATATATATATGTGTGTGTGTGTGTGTGTATATATATATGTGTGTGTGTGTGTGTGTGTGTGTGTGTGTGTATATATATATATGTGTGTGTGTATATATATATATATATATATATATATATATATATATACACACAATAAAAATGGACAAGTGGTTAGAACATTTGATTTCTGACTGTGAGACCCAGGTTTAAATCTCACCATGGTTGATTTATCAGGATGTAAACTTCCTGACATTATCGGTCTGGGAGGTGGGTGGGGTGATCTCAGCATGCAGCAACTTTGGAAAGTGCCTGAAAACCATCGTATAGGTTGATCCAAGCCTTGTGAGTGAAATTGAGTAGACAGACCGGGCCGTTGATAGCTGTGCTAGCACAAACTCACAAGTAATTGTGACTGAGGGTTTGAGTGTATTGGCCTTGTTCAGATTGTTGATCACATTAGATAACATGCTCTCTCCCAGAAACTGTAACTAAGGTCTGCTCAGCTTAGTTGCAGTATAAACCACAGGTTGGCTCTGTGTGTGTCAAACAAACACAAAATGTGCCTGAGCGAGTGCCTGCAGTAGGCATTGGCTAGCCATCTTAATGGACGAGTATCCTTGAAAAACGAGTGGCCAGCAATTATTTTATATATATATATATATATATATATATATATATATATATAAATGTGTGTGAGTGTTTTGAACAATAAATATATTAAAAAATTAAAATCTTCAGACACACTGGGTTGTATATTAATATTTTTTTGTTGTATTATTTAAATTAGGTTCTTATATATATTAAAACATATGTTGCATCTTGCTTACATCACAACACTCTTCTTTGCCTATGTGACAACACTCACTATTTTTATGAAATTCATCAATTGTCACTGCCTATCTTGATAATGGCTTAAGAAAAAGTCGAAAGCTTGGATCATATTTCTTGTATTTTTCTTCCAACATAAACTTGGACAATTTCTGACAGAATTCTCTCCTACTCTAAGAAGGAATATTAGTAATTTGGAAAAATCTATATAAATACACAATATATATATATATATATATATATATATATATATATATATATATATATATATATATATATTTCCCCATCAGCAACTCAGTTCCTAGTAACCAACAACCAGACAACAGCACATATGATTTGATTTTGGTTATAGTGGTGAAGGTTTTTGAAGGGCTAAATACAAAGACCTGGTGCACTATGTGCCACAAGGTCCCCAAACGACCTTGCACAGATTTTAGATTCAGAGTTGTCCTTCTCCTAGACCAGTTACCATCCAAGGCTATAGAACCCTCTCTGTCTTGCTATTTACCCATAGCTGGGGGGAGAAGAGGATTCATACCTTTCCCAAGGATATTGGCACTTAAGTGGATGCAATGTATTCGACTGAAATTTTTAAATATTGTTAAATATAGCAGATAATTAATCTCTATTATGTTTGATCATGAGCCATTCTAAACCCCATATATTTGGTTTAATTTCTGGTGAAAATAAAGACAAAAATTGTCCAACATTTGGATATTTTTTATTATGCTGTTCCTTGATCTAAGGTTTCAACTGACATGAGCCATCTTCAGAATGGTTATATGGACGTTTAAACAAATATATTCACCATGAAAAATGATATTCTGTTATGTTGGCATAAAAGATTGTTTATGTGACAATAACGGTCGTGGAATTGCAGATGCAGGTCTTTAATTCATGATGCAGTTATATGACGTCGTACCACATGAGAGACTGAAATATTAACAACAGAACCATATGTCTAGATGCAATGTAATGTGTTGTGACTAGTTTGAAATGTAATTTTGTTGAGTGTGTGTTGGTTTGTTTTAATGTAGGTGGCCTTCAATATCTGAAGGTTATTTTTACCGAGTGTATATGTGAGTATCATTGTGTTATCAACTAAGATCTGTCTAATATTATGTACATGGCTATGGTTTTCTAAGAAATGTTGCTTAATAGAACTAAGATCAGAAAGGTGACAAGTAAGTCTACGGGAAAGGGTGGTTGTAGTAAAACCAATATATGTAGCTGGTTTATTATTAGCATCAGAGGTACAAATCTCTGAACAGGCATGTAAATTGATACACTTTTTTTTTTTTTTTAAGCGTTTCACCCCCAAGCAAGGCTGGAAGCCACTAGGATGCAAGGGGTTACAGAAGATTTGGAGCAAGATCAGATAGGAGTGATAGAGGAAAAGATGAGGAGAAGAATAGTGGATAGATCCAGGCAACTGGAAATGTCGATTGACATTACATTTGAATACCTGGAGATTATAGCTCTCAGGAAAACTGGAATAGGGAAGGGAGTTCAACAGGCGAGATGTGCGAGACATGAAGCTATTGGAGTAGAAGGGACGGCTACATTTAGGAGTTTTGACAGTGAAAGAGTGAGAGTGGGATGCTAGCCTTGTAGGGCGCTTGAATTCATGAAGTCTGGGAACCAGTGAAAGCAGCTCATCGGAGCAATTACCATGAAAGTATTTGTAAAAAAGACAGAGAGAGGCGACGGCATGACTGTGAGAGAGTGACTGTAGACGAGATGCCAGAACAGGGCCAATTATACTGCATATCCACCTCTGGATCTTATCAAGAACCCTGAGGCAAACAGAAGGGGCTCCAGACCATATATGGCAGCAATACTCCATGCAAGGGCGAATTATTGATTTGTAGATCTGAAGGATCAATTCCAGGGGAGAAAAATTTCCTGGCACTGTACATTGGTTTTTTATAGAGAATTTAGTAGTGTTGTTGTAGGGTTATTAGAAACTATGAAGTCAATTGTTTTAAATGTTTTATAATATATGATGATGAGCTTAACTTGTTTATTATTATTAATGGGTTTAACATCTGCCAATTATTTTTTTGAGTGTTATTTCATCATGTTTGTAATTATTATGCATTTGGTTAGATTAGTATTAATTAATAGTGTTATGTTTATTTAGACGTACACTATTATTAATAATATTAACGATTTTATTAGAGGGATTATTAAGTTTATTGAGATACATTTTAATTTGTTGATCAATGACAGAATTAGATATATATATATATATATATATATATATATATATATATATATATATATATATATATATATAGTTGGCTCATGCTTCCATCCGAGGATTGGAATCATCATCATCCTCTCTTCTTATTCCCTTTCTACTCTTGGTGTCAGAGATGGCTGTAAAGACCCAGCCTACTCTCGAATAGTACACAGGAATCACAGAAAAGTGTGGGTGGCTGGGTGAGTCGGGCCCTCCTAATAGCATGGTGCTTTTCCAAGCATAGCTTAGGTTTGGCACAAGGCTGAAAGTACGGACCAACCAGTGAGAGTCGACCTCACTACTCAGTTGTAATTGTTCTGGCTAGATAAGCTTGCTAACCATTACACCATGTCGAGGTGTCCTAAATGATTTCCTAAGCATAACTTAGATGTGGCACAAGGCCGAATGTGTGGAGCACCCAGTGAGGATCGAACTCACTACTCAGTTGTAATTGTTCTAGTGAGACAAGCTTACTACCTATTACATTGCCTCAAGGTGCCCTAAATGATTTTCTAAGGGTAGCTTAGATGTGGCACAAGGCCGAAAGTGTGGAGCACCCAGTGAGGATTGCACTACTTAGTTGTAATAGATTTAGTCAGACAAGATTACTAACCATTACACCACCTTGAGGTACCCTCCCCCCCCAACAGCATGTAACAGGTTCTCTTTATATTATTGATGGTCAAACTTGAAAGTCTTGGTTCTACACCAGGAAGTCTGATATATATATATATATATATATATTCCTGATGAGCAGTGACAGGCCACAACTAAATGTTTTGTGCATTTTTACACAATCATCAGGTAGTCCACAAATGTTATCTGTTAAAAATGTGCATTTTATACTCACTCAGCATTTTAGAACTATGGCAGCCGATATGCACATACTATGCTCACAACAACCAAACTCAACACCCGGGGACGGGGAGGTGGAATGCTCATCCGTCAAAGAAGAAAATACCGGAAGTTCACCATTACTTGGGAAAAAACACCAGAAAAAAATATATAAATTAAAATACACACATGCATACACACACACACACACACACACATATATACATAAATATATATATATATATATATATATATATATATATATATATATATATATATATATATATATATATATATATATCTCCAAGTGAGAGAACAGATGGTGTCAAAAATATGTCAGTGACAGATGTATCATGACATATTTTCTGCAATCGTCAATGATGGCCTGTCTATGTTCCGGTTTATCGTAACATGAAAAATAACTCACCCACCTCCACCATCTCAGCTTACTTTTCTATTTTGCATACATCTGACATTTAATTGGTTAATCAAGACATACCCATAAGTCTATATCTGTTCCTTATCTATCTGCCTATCTGTCCATTTCCATCTATTTCCATTTGTTCATATATATCTATCTCAGTCAGTTCATATCTATCTGTCTGTCTCAGTCTGTTCATATCTATCTATCCATCTCAGTCTGTTCATATCTATCTATCTATCTATCTATCTATCTATCTATCTATCTATCCATCTCAGTCTGTTCATATCTATCTATCCATCTCAGTCTGTTCATATCTATCTATCTATCTATCTATCTATCTATCTATCATCTCATCTATCTATCTATCTATCTATCTATCTATCATCATCTCATCTGTTCATATCTATCTATCCATCTCACTCTGTTCATATCTATCTATCTATCTATCTATCTATCTATCTCAGTCTGTTCATATCTATCTATCTATCTCAGTCTGTTCATATCTATCTATCCATCTCAGGTTGTTCATATATCTATCTATCTATCTATCTATCTATCTATCTATCTCAGTCTGTTCATATCTATCTCAGGTTGTTCATCTATCTATCTATCTATCTATCTATGTCTGTTCATATCTATCTCAGTGTGTTTCTTATCTATCTATCTATCTATCTATCTATCTATCTATCTATCTATCTATCTATCCATCTCAGGTTGTTCGTATCTATCCATCTCAGGTTGTTCATATCTATCTCAGATTGTTCATATCTATCTATCTATCTATCTATCTATCTATCTCAGATTGTTCATATCTATCTATCTATCTATCTATCTATCTATCTCAGTCTGTTCATATCTATCTCATGTTGTTCATCTATCTATCTATCTATGTCTGTTCATATCTATCTCAGTGTGTTTCTTATCTATCTATCTATCTATCTATCTATCTATCTATCCATCTCAGTCTGTTCATATCTATCTATCCATCTCAGGTTGTTCATATCTATCTATCCATCTCAGGTTGTTAATATCTATCTCAGATTGTTCTATCTATCTATATCTATCTATCTATCTATCTCATCTATCTATATCTATCTATCTATCTATCTATCTATCTATCTATCTCAGTCTGTTCATATCTATCTCAGGTTGTTCATCTATCTATCTATCTATCTATCTATCTATCTATCTATCTATCTATGTCTGTTCATATCTATCTCAGTGTGTTTCTTATCTATCTATCTATCTATCTATCTATCTATCTATCCATCTCAGTCTGTTCATATCTATCTATCCATCTCAGGTTGTTCGTATCTATCTTTCTCAGATTGTTCATATCTATCTATCTATCTATCTTTCTATCTATCTATCTATCTATCTATCTATCTATCTATCTCAGTCTGTTTATATCTATCTATCCATCTCAGGTTGTTCATATCTATCTCAGATTGTTCATATCTATCTATTCATCTATCTATCTATCTATCTATCTATCTATCTATCTATCTATCTATCTATCTCAGTCTGTTCATATCTATCTCATGTTGTTCATCTATCTATCTATCTATGTCTGTTCATATCTATCTCAGTGTGTTTCTTATCTATCTATCTATCTATCTATCTATCTATCTATCTATCTATCTATCTATCTATCTATCTATCTCAGTCTGTTCATATCTATCTATCTATCTATCTATCTATCTATGGCAGTTATTACTATGGTTCCATATTTCTCAATAGATGCTTACTTTATTTTACATGGCTTATAGCCATATCATGTTGAAATCACCAAAGTTAAGCAATGTTGAGCCTGGTTAGTATCTATATGAATGACCACTTGGAAATGCTAGTTGCTTTAAGCTTGGATGTGTGGATGGTGTAATGGAAAACGAGTTGAAATGAGAAGCTAGAGAACTGAGTTTGAATTCTAGTCAGCTTTATTACATTCTCTTTGATGCAAATACCCTTGGGAAAGGTATGAATCAACCTCTTCTCCTGCCATCTATGGGTTAAAGAGTAGACCTTGTATCTGAAAATCATTAGTATCTTTAAGAAATTGTTAATATAGTATTAACTCACAAAAAAAAAGGATTCATCCAATTTCAAAATAAACTCCAAAAAGTTGATAAGTTGTAAAAAACAAATCAATCAATAAATCAATCATATTTACAGGTAACCGTTCTTCCATGTTTTACATATTGCCGCCACATCTGGTCCAGTGCTTCTGCTATGCATTTAGAGATTCTTGATAAAATACAAAAAGAATCTGCAATGTTATCGGTCCTAACCTGCCATCTCAGCTACAGTCACTTTCCCTCCGCCGCAAAGCCTTTTCTAAAAATATTTTCAGGGTAATTGTTCTGATGAGCTTTCCTCTTTGGTACCTAGACTTTAGGAATTTAAGTGCAGTACTAGATTGGCAGCTAAATCTCATCATTTTAAAGTTGCAAAGATGAAATGTAACCATAAGTTCTCTGTGTACCGTTTCTTCTGTTGCACTTCTTGCTTGAGGAACTCGTTTCTGGCTTGTTGCTTTTCAGTCACCTTTGAACATAGGTTCTTGTATAGTCACCGAAATTAAGCAATGGCAAGCTTGGTCAGTACCTAGATGGGTGACTGCTTGGAAAAACCAAGTGCTGTAAGCTTGGATGTACAGGTGATGTCATGATAATGGCTTGGAAATGGAAATTGGAATGCTGAGTTCTAATTCCAGTCAGGTTCTTTATGTTCGCTTATGCATGAATACCCTTGGGAAAGGTATGAATCCCTCTCTTCTCCCCCAAGCTATGGGTTAATTAGTAGGAATTGTATCAGTAAATCATTATTAACTCCCTAAAATTTTTACAATCTAAAAATACCCTCTGGCTTTAGATAACCTGCTAAAAGTTGATGAACAAATCAGTTTATCAATCCTTATCTTCAAAAATTTAATTGCTTGGAGTGAAATGATTAAAAAAACTATGCATATAATAACATGATTAAAAATACATATATAATAACGTTTTTTTTAATTATTTATTTCTTCAAGACATGAACAAACCAAGATAACTAAACAGATAGATAGATATGAAAAGACTGAGATAGATAAGAATATAGATATATATATACAAACTATGGATAGATATGAACAAATGGAGGTAGACAGATGAAAATGAACAGATAGATAAGGAACAAATGGAAATAGATATATAGATAGTGAACAAACTGAGATAAATAAATAGATATAAATTTTGCTTTAACTTCTATAGGTAGGATACTATTTTGGAAACTATTGTTGTAGACTGGAGTTAGACAAAATTTTAAAAAGTTTTTATATATATATATATATATATATATAGTGCAGAGCCAGATATGGGGAGAAAGATTGTATTGAGGGGAGGAGCTGACTAACTTGAAAAAATTCAAAATTCTAGCCAATTCCAGAGATTGGAGAAGAGCAAGTGGCATCCGTTTCTTTAGCCATTCAAAACTGAAAATGGTTCTTCATCCAACTGATTATTTAAAACTAAAATAAACCAACCACCGCAAAGGTGCATTGGGAAATTTCTCATCATGAATTAGAGAGAAAACAGTTATTTCAGTGAATAAGTAGGCAGACATATGGGTGGATTGTAGACTTGTCTGGGTAGATAGTGGGTGGCTAAGGAGATACACTTTTCAGTAGATAGCTGTTTGCCTTTGGTGAGTTGGAATGTAATTGGTGGGTGAAACAAAAACAGAGAAATATATATTCAATTACTTACAGGGATCAATGGAATACAAGGGGCTGCTGAAAAGTTCTTAGTCTGAATTCATTCCCAAAATCAGTATTTCTGATGTCTGATCATTAAAATACTGATTTTAGGAAAGGAGTCAGACCAATTAGCTTTCAGCAACAATTCATGTATATATCATATGTTTGGGAAAATTATTGAAGATTTTTCTCTTTAAAGTAGGTTTAAGAGGCAAACCCATATCTATACCATCAGTCTGTATGTAAATGTTACCATAAAGTTATGAGGAGATGCTGAAAAGTTCTTAGTCTGATTTCCTTCTCAAAATCAGTACTTCTGCAATGTTATTGGTCCTGATCTGTTATCTCAGCTTTGGCCACTTTTCCACTGCCATATGTATGTAGACTTTATAAATTTAATTGCAGTACTAGATTGACTGCAAAGTCTCATCTTTTTACATTTGAAATGGTTAGATGTAATTTCTTTGCTAACAGTTTTTTTTTTCTTGCATTTCTTGCTTGTGAAACTCTCTTCCGGCTTCTTGCTTTCCCAGTCAAGTTTGATCTTTAAAAATTTAAATGCAGTGTCAATCGTTATCATCTGTCCTCTTAATTCCTGTTCTTTTATTGTCCTCTCTCCTTAATAGTAGTTTTTCTCATATTCTCTAACATTCAGTAACCCCTTGTATCCTAGTGGCTTTATTGCCTTTGATCTTCAAAAATTAAAATGCAATGTCAATCGTTATCATCTGTCTTCTTAATTCTTGTTCTTTTATTATGTTTTCTCCTTAATAGTATACTTTTCTCATATTCTTAGTGGCTTTATTACCTTGTTTGGGTGAAATGATTAAAAAAAAGCATTTACGTTTGTTACAGCAAAATATGATTTATTGATTTGTTTTCTATGGTTTATCAACACTTTGCAGGTTATTTAAAGCCAGAAAATATTTTTTAGATTGTAAGAGTTTATTTTTTGAGATTATAATGATTCAATGATACAAATCATACTAAATACACCATACCTGAAAGGGAAAGAAGGGGTGGTTTCATGTCTTTCCCCAGGGGTATTTGCATATAAGTGAATTTAATAAACCCAACTGAAATTGGAACTCTGCTCTCCAATTAACAATTCCAAGCCATTATCCATACACCACCTGCACATTCAAGCTTACAACACTTGGTATTCCCATACAGTCATGCATCTAGGTACTGACCAAGATCAATGTTGCTTAACTTTAGTGGTCATAAAAGAGCTGTTGTTTTAAACGTAAAGTCTTTTACTATCTCTGACTTTATTATATTGATATTATTATTGTTATATATTAGAGTGTATTAAAAATAATTTCGTTTTTTGCAGCCCTTTACTCTAAAGCTTATTTCATGTAGATAATCTATGAACCGACCTATAATACTAGACATTCATTTATCTTGTTAGTTATAAGTAGTACCTTGTTTGGTGGTGAGACTTGTGTAAGTTCTTTAGCATGTAGATCTCAGGGTGGTATATGGAAGCTTTGCGATGCCTGTACCATATGGAACCCCCCACCCACCTTGGCATACCAACATTTGGGGATGACTTGGCTGCAGAAGTTTCCAGAAAGTTGTCAGTGTTGACAGCCAACTGCCTTTGGGGCTCCCCTCCGGGTTTTCATTCTGGATTTACGTGTTGGGATATGACCGCAAGTCGGTGGAGTTTGCCTTCCTGGGCTGTTGGGCTTCATCTACCCGGGAAAAAGAAGAAGAGAAGAAAAAGAGTAACAGAAAAAAAGAAGTAAAAGAGAAGAAGAAAAATAGATGCGTTGTTATAAGACTGCCTATTAAAATTGAATTTGATAATTTAAATATCGTCCGGTTCACACTCCTCCCCAGTTTTTGAACAGCAGTAGAGGTTCATACTTTTTTCTGACAACCATTGAAACATATATAATATAAATAATGAACTCAACTATATATATTGGCGGTATTAAGTTGTCCCTTCCCAAAATT